GAGATGGAGGAGTGGGTGGCTACAATGAAACTAGTGTATGGATAGATTCTGGATGGTGACTACCAGGAATGGGTCAAGCCTTGACTGTAAGCTGGCATAGGTTGTGTCCTTTAAGGTGCTTCTGGTTTCTAGAAGTTTTTCAGTCATGAGGTGTGTGTTACTGGTACTCCAATAATCATTGATTTAGGAATGGTATCTCAGTCAAGTTGTAGATGTAAATGGAGGTTACAAGTGGTACCATTCATATCAGTTTTAGTACTGTATATCTCCAAGTATCAATATCTATTGCTCAGATGATGGAGAACATTCCATAATTCTTTCAATGCTGTTTTCTTTTTCCTAAAACATTTATACAAAGATTCATTTCAAGAGCTTGAAATAATCAACAGATACAAAAACCTTAGGAACTGCTAGGTTGTGAGTTTTCTTAACATGGTAGCTGATGCTATCATAATAATGATAAATTGCATGTGCATGTCAGGGTACATTATGAAGGTTAGAGCAGCTCTCTGGAATAAACTGAATGTTATCTGATAGGGAGTTATCACTGTTATCACTGAGCATTATGGGTGACTGAAGCCTGCCATTGGTGCACATGAGATGGTTGGGTGATAACAATTTGTATGACATGGTTATAGAATTGTTATGTATTTTAGCTCCAAGACTGCATGGTGACTGGGCTGAGCTAGTGGCACATGTATTGACAGTGCTAAGCTTGGACACAATGATCTCAAGGTGGTAGACTATTCATGATGTCATGATTAGGCTGAATTACTTCATGACAAGACCTACAGGGTCGTCTGATTTGTCTGATTAGAGATACTCTTGTATGGCACTACAGGAGAAAATTGTCCGAGAGGAATTATTGTATTTTAACAAAGCACTGCCCATGTTCATACACAGTGAAAGCTTGGCAATCCATATAAGATGTACCATACTCAAACAGACTGATTCACTCGCTTAGTTATTGAAGTTCATGTTTTAACTATGAAGAATATAACAATGATTAGGCCTTTTGGAAATCCTGTGAGAAGTTAAGACAGAAAAATGCATTTCAGATTTTTTTCCTAGAAATCTTATCAGAATACATTGTAATTTAAGGTGTTGTATTCACTACTGTTTGGGTTAATTTTTAATTTTGTCCCCCACAAAAAAGGAGTTTTTCAAATTATTTATTGTAACTATTAATTAGCGTGGAAGTATTGTCTTAGGACATGTAGGTAATTTAGTGGACTGAATCTTGGTGAAAATGATGTTGCATTAGAATTACGTTATACTGTCTATCCCAGAGCAATTCAGTGTGAATCCTGGATTCATTTGTAAAGAAGGGTCATCAAAGGTAACAAGAAAACTCACTACCAAGTTACCAGTACAAGGCAAATTTTGGAATCGAGTTGCGACATTGTGGCAATTTACCATCTTATGTCATGCTTTGACAAAGTATTGAAGGGAAGGTAATATTTTGGTACAGTACACAGATCAAATATAGGTTATCTGAAATATAAATGCCTCACTGAATATGTATAGGAACAACTAACAATAAAAACTTGTATATTCTTTATTCCCAGTAAGTGTTTGGAAACAAGTCTTCCACATGATCTATACCCAGCTGTAAAGCCGTTACAGGTAACAATATGCCTAAGGGGATCGTATTTCCTTCTTTATGTGGGTATAATCGCTCATATACAGGTCACCTCTCCCACACTGGTAATAAGCAGTCATAGAATTGAAAATAATTCCTCTCATCTATATTCATAAGTGTGTTACATGATATACGGCCATGGAAGGAGGTGCAGCGTGCTGGGGGTAAGGCTACAGTATCACCTGGAGGATCCCTTGAGTGTTTAGTACATAACTACAGGGACGTTATCAGGGATATCGTCTGGCTGGGGAGTTGTTTCAAAAACAGGAACTATTTCTACCATGAGGATTAGAAGAAAAGGTAATCTTATCAATGTTTTTTTCTGTTTTTCCGAAATTTAGAAAATTGCAGAAAAGATGCTGTCACTTCTCTTGAGTAAGGTGTAGTTAAATGTAGATTTATTGATGAAAGAGAGTTGAGTTGTTCACGGTATTTGTTGTCATTATTATAGGGTTAAGTTCAGTTGTCATTTCACATTGACAGAAAAGATGCTGTCACTTCTCTTAAGTAAGATGTATGTATATTTCTGAATGAAATTCAGATGTTATTTGTCTTCAGTCCAGTTCTAGGAGTTCATAGCTCATTTGTTTTAAACTGGAGAATATGAAACACCAGTTCTCACTGATTTGGGTTAATGAATCTATTGTGAGTATGATAATATAGAATAAATATTAACTGAATAATATTTACAAAATAAATAACATTGAATTGAAAGTAAGACTGTTGGGGCAGTTTTGTGAAGACTTGTTGGAAGACACTGGTTTTACATTATATAGTACTCAAAAGAAATCAAGGACCACTCAATTCTTTTATATGATAATTTGTCATGGCATGGCAGATTAACCGTTGTCATCATAAAGAAAGGGGTGAACCTTAGTTTGTTTTGAGTAGTGAGTTTTGTGACTGGAATAACCAATTCTGATTGTTGGAACCGACTATATGGACATCCTATAATTTGATGTTTTTAATCTCAGAATATTTAATTCAATGTATTTACTGGCTGGAATTTATGTCTTATTTTGTATATGAAATTGAACATTTCCAACTTCATAAACAATTCTTGTGGTATGTCATTGGTTGATATTAGAAGCCCAGAAATAACTTGGCTTGTTACTTCATTCTTGAAATACATACCCTGACAACAACAATGTCATGTGAAGTTTTGAAAAGTTAATAACTCACACCCTGGGAGATCGAATTTCAACCATATTTGGATGTATTTAACAATTGTCATGAGCACATGTTTTAAATGTTCAAAAATTGCTGACCTCTGGACATCCAGATTTAACTGTAGTTGGACATACTTCAACATGTAGCAGAGTTACTGGTAGTTCCTTGTTATTCTGTCTTTCTGTTTCCTTTATAAAAACTCTCCACCAAATAAAATACACACAATGATCTGACTGTGGTGAGGTGTGGATCAGATCTTAGCTGGGACCAGGATAGTTACGAGTCATAACCAACTGGTATTGATCCACTAATGACAACCACTTTGTCTGGCCATGGAGAATACAGCTGGATACAGCAGCATCGTAAACTCTTACTTGGTCCATGTGGTGCTAGCTTCATACTTGGATCAAGGTCTTTGGGTCCTGTGGGATTTTGTTTGAAATACGCCACTTTAACAAATGTCAAATGAGTGAGTGTGTGAGTTCAGTTTTACGCCGCACTCAGCAATATTCCAGCTATATGATGGTGGTCTGTAAATAATCAAGTCTGGATCAGACAATCCAGTGATGAACAATATCAACACTGATCTGCGCAATTGGGATACAATGACATGTGGTGTCAACTAAGTCAGCGAGCATGACCACCCAATCCTGTTAGTCGCCTTTTACGACAAGTATGGGTTACTGAAGATCAATTCTAACCCGGATCTTCACGGGTCCCAGTAGGATGAGATGGTGATGAGCCGCTTATTGGCACCATGGACTATTTGCTCCACAGGTAGATGACAATGACATTCCAGAGCTCAATGGACCATTGACCAGTGGAATAATGGTGTAGCTTTGAACACATTGTGCAGTGTGTGGAATATTGTGTATTATGTGTTAAAAGTGTTCCTCAGAAGTGCTTGCCTTGTGATATGGGTGACTAACAGGATAGAGTTTTCAGACTCAAGACTTCATGCATGAATGTCGACATTCTATCATTGTTAATACACACACCAGACAATACATCCATAATGTTGAATTGGTAAAGCCTTCACAAATGATGAGAGTTCATCCCATAGAAAGGAGACAATCTTTTTAAGAATGTTTCGGTACCATGTTGTAATAACAATCTTGTGATTGGATGACTGATCACAGAGGGTATGATACTTGTACATTTTGCATAAAAACTGTACAAAATTTACTACATAGCCAATGAGAAACCACACACATTCTTACACCTTTATGTTTGTGATTTAAATTGAAGGACGTAAAAAAATAGTATTTATGATTTGCATTTGATTATTATATATTTATTATTTTATATTTATTATTTTATATTTATTATTATATATTTATTATTTTATATTTATTATTTTATATTTATTATTTGTATTTATTATTATATATTTATTATTTGAAATTTATTTTGAATACTTCACATTAATTGTCTGATCATTGTGATAGAAAAGTGATTTGGGCAAATGTTTTAGGACAGCTTGGCGCCATCACTTCCATTATGTCATATTTGATGTTGTACCCATGATGAATTGGAGTGTCATGTGAATTGTGAGGTTTTAGTACAAAATGAAACATATTATCTTCATGAACTATTTTTTTTTAAAGTAACTTTAGTTTATTATAGGGTGAAATACTGTAAATATTGGTGAAAATAGAAAAGGTATTTTCACTGAGTAGAATAACATGTTATTTCACTGAGTAGAATATCACTTTTGCTTGGAAGTATGAAATGCCATGAACTACAGTTTTGCCATTAACGAAATGATCGATGTCTCGATCATTTATAAACATGATCAAAATAGAATAAATAGAATATTTTGTTAATGTTGTCAAATAACATGTATATTTCACTCGATGTGAAGCTTGTTTAAATAGTAGTCCCTGTCATGATTTGACAGGAACTTACTTTGGTATAAAGCCTCACTTGCTTTGTGTACGTTGTTACTTATTGGAAATTTGTTTCATATCATCAATTGTAAATATGTTCTTGTATAACTACTTGCGTTTTATAATTGTGAAGTGATGGTGTTTTAATGGACAAATAGTATTGTAATGTTAAAAATGTGTATATAAAGAAATTCCTTTTAAATATAATTATATGTATGTGTAACTTGGTCTCATCACTGAAGTAGAGGCTGAAAAAATGCCAATTCTTTGAGTTACTAAATTTATGTTTGTGTGTTTAGAAGAACCAGTATGGCGGGGAGAACGTCCGCAGACAGATGGAGGAAGAACTGGATCGCCGAGTTCGGGATGCCCTGGAGACTCCCCCTCTGGAACGCATCAAGCAACGGAAAGAAGAGGCACGGAAACGCCAGCATAAAGAACTGGAAAAAATAAATTCCCATATACTGCTTGATATATCAAAAGACAGAGATTTTTTCAAATCAAAACAATGGCGAGCACTACAGGCTCGACAAAATAATCGGAATATGACGCAACATAATAATCGGATAGAGTTTGTGTTTCGTGATGAACTCTCGCGATCCAACCAGGATGAGTTCCCTGGAGTGTTTGGTTTGGAGAGTTTTTCTGAAGGGATTAAAAATATTAGAGAAGAGTTTTCCAATTCTGTTGAGAGATTTCCTCCTTTAAAGCCAAAGATACGACATTTTTACACAAAACAGGGTTTCCTTCAAGCAATGAAGTCTGGCCACTTGCCGGATGGGTTTACATTTCTGGATGACAATGGAACATACAGAGACAAATATGGTGTTATACGAAACCAAGATGGCCCCTTCTGGCCTTTGGATTGCCTGCCACTCTATGCAACACCTAGATTTAAGTACTTTGACATAAAGGCAGAACCACTTTCCTACCAGTTGCCAGGTAAGTTAAATGTTTGAATGTTTGTTTGTTTGTTTGTTTGTTTGTGACAGAGCACTCAGCAGGATTGCAACTATATGACGACCAATAAATAATCAAATCTGGAACAAACAGACCAGTGACAGATATTGTGCCATGTGATTGAGGTACGATGACACACAGTCCTTGCTGTCACTCGCCAGACCATCCAATCCACTTTGTCATAACTTGGAATGCAAACAAGGTGCATGTGTAATGAGAGCCCTAGTCATGTAGGTTAGTTGAGCCAACGTCCAGCGCATACAGGAAATGTTATCCTTGTTACTCTCCAGTCCTTAGTGTGACTAAGTCTTTACTCAGTTATTGGTAAGGAATGGAGAGTTACTCAGACACTCACTTCTAATATACACAGGACTCTATGGTAGGCATGTTTACTGTTGATGGTATATATTCTTATGGGATATATATACAAACATGAAGTTGCGTGATTGTCCCGAGAACCTCTTGCCTGCCATGAGCTCACACATAGGAATATATGGCTGGGCACTGTGACATGTTTGATTGCGTGTTTTGTAACACAATGGTGTCAAGTGTTGGTCATGTATGTCGTTACATGAAGTATTCACAGAAAAGAACAAAAGTTGCATTTGACTTAAGGAGGTGATCTGCAGTATTAGCATGAAACTGTTAAGGTTGATATGACTTGAGGAGACATCAGCATTAAACTTTATTGTGGAGGTAAGTAAAGAATTTTTTTCCAGTTACGGACACACTAATCTAAGTAATGATCAAGGCCTTTTTTTAATTACAATCACTCAAACTTCGAGATTAATTACTAAATTAGACAAGAGGAATGTGTACACCTGCCAACATTACTAATGATGCAGGTGTAATGGATGAAGGACATGGTGGTCCAGTGATCCCTCTTGTAGATGGAGGGGTTCACTATGTTTAGGATTGTCCAACTTGAAGCTTGGTCTTGGTGCATCCCATCATCATCTTCACCCCAAAAATAGGGGAAATCAGGGTCATCCTTTGTCACAACATGTTCTCATATTCTCTAGTTTGATGTGTCATGCTATTGAAGACTACAGTAGCAAACAGCCCTATCCCATGATGTGTCGTGGCTATTGGGGACTACAGTAGCAAACAGCCCTATCCCATGATGTGTCGTGGTATTGGGGACTACAGTAGCAAACAGCCCTATCCCATGATGTGTCGTGTTGGGGACTACAGTAGCAAACAGCCCTATCCCATGATGCGTGCTGTTGAGGGACTACAGGATTGGGGACTACAGTAGCAAACAGCCCTACAGTAGCAAACAGCCCTATCCCATGATGTGTCGTGCTATTGGGGACTACAGTAGCAAACAGCCCTATCCCATGATGTGTCGTGGTATTGAGGACTACAGTAGCAAACAGCCCTATCCCATGATGTGTCGTGCTATTGAGGACTACAGTAGCAAACAGCCCTATCCCATGATGTGTCGTGCTGTTGAGGACTACAGTAGCAAACAGCCCTATCCCACTACAGTAGCAAAAACAGCCCTATCCCATGATGTGTCGTGCTATTGGGGACTACAGTAGCAAACAGCCCTATCCCATGATGTGTCGTGCTGTTGAGGACTACAGTAGCAAACAGCCCTATCCCATGATGTGTCGTGGTATTGGGGACTACAGTAGCAAACAGCCCTATCCCATGATGTGTCGTGCTGTTGAGGACTACAGTAGCAAACAGCCCTATCCCATGATGTGTCGCAGTAGCAAACAGCCCTATCCCATGATGTGTCGACTACAGTAGCAAACAGCCCTATCCCATGATGTGTCGTGGCTGTTGAGGGACTACAGTAGCAAACAGCCCTATCCCATGATGTGTCGTGCTATTGAGGACTACAGTAGCAAACAGCCCTATCCCATGATGTGTCGTGCTGTTGAGGACTACAGTAGCAAACAGCCCTATCCCATGATGTGTCGTGCTATTGAGGACTACAGTAGCAAACAGCCCTATCCCATGATGTGTCATGATGTGTGCGGCTGTTGAGGACTACAGTAGCAAACAGCCCTATCCCATGATGTGTCGTGCTGTTGAGGACTACAGTAGCAAACAGCCCTATCCCATGATGTGTCGTGCTATTGAGGACTACAGTAGCAAACAGCCCTATCCCATGATGTGTCGTGCTATTGGGGACTACAGTAGCAAACAGCCCTATCCCATGATGTGTCGTGGTATTGAGGACTACAGTAGCAAACAGCCCTATCCCATGATGTGTCGTGCTGTTGGGGACTACAGTAGCAAACAGCCCTATCCCATGATGTGTCGTGCTATTGGGGACTACAGTAGCAAACAGCCCTATCCCATGATGTGTCGTGCTATTGGGGACAACAGTAGCAAACAGCCCTATCCCATGATGTGTCGTGCTATTGAGGACTACAGTAGCAAACAGCCCTATCCCATGATGTGTCGTGCTGTTGAGGACTACAGTAGCAAACAGCCCCATACCATACAGTATCATACGGAAAGATACACCAACTAGAATATAACCTTCAACATTCTTCACATGCAACATGCAAGCATGAAACCTTATATATGTCACTGGAATGTACATACGCAAGGTTGGCACATCAAGGGACACAACTCTGCCAGGACTAGCCCACAGTGCTGCAACAAATAGTTTGGGTCAACTGTTCTATACCGTCTTGAACAATTTTAGAATGAGTTACTAATTATCAACAATCATTGCTTGGGTTTATAGTTGTCAACCTTGTATGTGTTTGTACAGGTCATAAATTTGCTGAAGTAAATTTTGTACATCCATCAAATGGAAAAATAAAAATGGTTTGCCTTAATGCTCAAACCCATTTGTTACCTATTTACCTGATCATGAAGTATTCACACAGGCTCTTTCGGCAGATGGTGTGAGTGAATGAGTATGGTTTTATGCTGCTTGTAGCAATCTTCCAGCAATATCAGAGCAGGGGACACCAGAAATGGGGTTCACACTTTGTACCCATGTGGAGAATTGAACCCAGATCAGCAGCATGACGAACGGACACTTTAACCATAAGACTAAACACACACACACACACACCCCCACACACACACCACCCGGCAGTTGGTGTGGGTACAGATGTGATTATAATGGTCTGCTAGGTAGTATTGTTTTATTTACTGGATGACAAAATATACAAACAAACAAAACCAGATATATCGTTTTTCATTTATTTTTTTAACATCCGTTAAATGTTGGCTAGATTTGCAAATAAACCTTGTATGACAAAAAGTAAAGGACAGGAAGTCAGTAGAAACATTAAATCAACAGTTACATTTTCCTGTAATATACTACTGAAAAACGAAACGCCAACCACTTCTTTCATATTATTATATAGTTAGTCTCTCATGCCATGAAAGGTTGACTGGTATTCTGAAAAAATTAAGTGGTCTCTAACGTGTTTTAGTATTATATTTTGTTAACTTTATCCAACCTTAATCTAGACAGGTTATTGATCCATATGATCAAATAAATTGGAAAAATATAATTAATGGAACCTTGAGCAATACCACCCTGAATATGTCGACAGACCTGGGTTTTAGGTTAGCTATTTAGACCAAGGACATTGAAAGGCATTGGCAGCTATCGTACCACGGTGTGAGAAGATAAAGAGGCCTTTTCACTGAAGATAAATACATGGAAAATAATTAATCACAATCTGATACACCTGTGCTGTCTATAAAGCAATTTCTTCTCTAAAAATACAGGAACAAGAGCAAGTTTATAGAGAAGTTTTGTGTACTGAGATAAGTGAGTGGAAACAGTTAATTTAAAGCAATGTTACAATCTTCTTGAAGTATTGGGATAATGTCTGCTTTATAACAATCCAGGTGCCCATTGCTATCTCTCTGCTGATTTGAATGGCAGTAGTATAGTGTGGGCAACAGTTGGGTTGATACAGTTCGGATCCATGATGGTGGAATAGCGTGTATTTGACAGGGTGGAAATGTGTTGATATTCTGTCTTTGGATTGCTTTGGATGATTTCGTTAGTATTTGTTGGGTACAACATGAGTAACGACAAACATTGTAAGTATTGGTGGGTACCATGCAGTGTTTGTACAACATGAGTAACGACAAACATTTTAGTTGGGTACAACATGAGTAACGACAAACTAGTTGGGTACAACATTGTAAGTACAAACATTGTGTGTAAAATTGAATAGTTGGGTACAAGATGAGTAACGACAAACATTGTAAGTATTGAGTATTAGTTGGGAGTGGTTCTGTGTATGTGAAAATGTATTGGTATGGTGGGTACCAGGCAGTGTTTGTTTTTGAACCGTTAGGGATTATGTATTAATGTGTGTCACTTGTTTAATCTTTCTTGTTGAACAACAAACAATTGGGATATTTAGGGGTTTCAGATCTGTATTCTTTAAGGATTTATTTTTGTTCAGTTCAATTGTTTGGTGTATGCTTTGGAGGTTATAAATGTGTTTCTCTGTCATGGATTGGGTAGGTGCTATTTAAATACAGTAAAAATTGATGAACGGTTATAAAAATAACAAATTTATCACTTAAATTTGTTTTTCAATTTTATTATTCCTTGTTTGCACTTTGTAATATTTTCCTTCAACCTCTGGATATTCATAGGATTGATACATTGTTGCTATGAAATTCCAGAATGTGACAGATCAAACTGCATGTTTTTCAAATTCAAAGAAAATCTGATTCTTACCATAAATTGTAAACATGCATAAAAATACAAATATAACTCAAATTTAAATTTTTGGTATGTGAATAGTATTATTTCCTACTTCATGTGTTCCCTGCCAAGGCTGTACACAGTAATAAGCTTATGCTATAGAAGTCTCCTGAACCACCTAGGTAAACATTGGCTCTGGCCTGAAAAGGTTCAAGTGGCAAATATGGCTGATTTCGCAAACAGTTGTTGTCACTTAAGTAGAAATAAAGTTTTGTTGTTCTTCAAGCACCCTAGAGGATTTTGCCTTTGTGTGTGCGTGGTAGGGATA